CCATATTTTAAGCAGTATTTCCTTCTCTTCCCCCTCCTCCTCCTTCTCTTTCTCTTCTTCCTCCTCCTCCTCTTCCCCTTCCTCTTCTTTCTCTTATTTCTTTCTCTTGTTTTTGTTTGTTTTCTTGAGACAAGGTTTCTGTTTATAAACAGGCTGGCCTGGAAGTTGCTATGTATCTCAGGCTGGCCTCAAACTCATGGTCATCCTGCCTTTGCCTCCCAAATTCTGGGATTTCAGGTCTTATTGCAAGCCTTGAAAGAGTTAAGGGAGTAATATTTTATTCTGATGCTGTGCTTGGGAACCACTAAATCACAAACTTTGGGAAAATCTTTCTGAGATTGTCTTTTTTATCCTCAGAAATAATTAACTGCATCTACCCAGTGCTAATTCCACCCCCATCTCACTTTCTCTCTATATCTCTCTTCCTCTCTCTTCTTCCTTCTTTTCTTCCCTCCCCCCTCTCTCCTCCCTTCTCTCTCTTTAGGGTCTTGCTGTATCACCTGGGCTAGCTTCAAACTTCTGGCTCTCCTACCTCAGCTTCCCATGTGCTGGGATTACAGGCGTGCTTCAGCACAACTTGACTTTGACTGTCATCTCTAGGTATTAAACCCAACCCTGAAGTTCCTACTGTGAACCTGAAAATGCTGCCTTCTAGAGAGAAGTGCCTGTATTAATCAAAGTTATAGAGCACCAGTGCTTGTCCCATGCCTTGTGGTGAATCCTTTTCTTGGGAATTTAGAAAATCTCATTGGAGAACATTCCCTGTAGAAGTTTGAGGCCAACTCCAGGGGGATTACAGGAATCAGCGTAAGTAAGGAGTGTGGCTACAGTTAGCTAATATTCACACCCTGGAACAGTCCACTGTCCTATAAATGTCAAAATGGATTTTGGTACCAAGAGGACACAAGCAGCTTTGCTGAGTGTGGCCCTTCTGTGTTTCAGTGGTGCCGGGCTGGGGAGTGTGTGAGCAAGACACCCATCCCGGAGCATGTGGATGGGGACTGGAGTCCATGGGGCACCTGGAGCATGTGCAGCCGGACATGTGCAACAGGAGCACGCTTCCGGCAGAGGAAATGTGACAACCCCCCGTAAGTTCCCCCTCACACCCCTTTACAAGGTATACCCCACTCTATGGTTCTTTCTACCTTATGCAAGAAATATGTAAGAGAAACAAAGTAGAACCAAGGTTGCGTGCTAGGGCCTTGAGTGTGTCACATGGTGTCTGAACTTTGCTAGAGTTCTCCGAGGACAGGGACACAGTGGAGTCCTGAGGGGAGTTGGCTCCTTTATCCTTTGCCTGGCTCTGGTAGAAAGACTCCCTGTGACATCTGGATGGCAGTCTGTCTTGCCTGCCTCAGTCCACTTAGTTGAGAGTCATTGTCAGGAAGCCTGCAGACCTTCCAGAAGGAGAAGCTGACCTTCACCTTGGCTGTTGGCAGATTTGGGAGCAGCGTGAGCATAAGTCAAGAGGTATCTGTGGATTCAGCTGTTTGTTCATCTAAATAGTTTTCAAGGCTTTCTAGAACTATTTGATGGGGGAGGGGGAGGTATGTTTTTCTCTTCAAATTTCTTTTCATAGACTTTGATGATACCAGGACCTTTCCTGTTCACCCCTGGAAATTTGCTCTGGAAAATTCAGGGATAGTTATGCTCCATTAGAATAATTCCATCCCTAGGGGTTTCCTCCTTCTCTGAACTTTCCTGATTTTAAATGTTTCCTTTGTCCATCTGTTTTCTGTCTTGGGTGTCATCAGTCACATCTCATCAGCTTGGACAATGAACAAGTGGTAAGTCGTGACTAAAAATGAAATGCTTTTCTACAGTTAAGTCATGTTGATGAATAGTTGGCAAGTACTTCTTGTGTATAAAGCACTCGATGCTAAGGCTGCTCCAGTTAAATCAGGGAGGTGGACCACAGAACTTGGCTGCTTTAACTCTCCCAAATGATACCAATGGCCCACCAAGGCTGGGACCACCTTGCTAAAGAGAACTAATGCCCATAGTTTAATCGGTGGCAGGATCATCCCATTTTCCAGTAGTGCTGTAAGAATTGGCATTATGTGAAAATGTCATTTTAAAATTAAGGTATAGCTGAGCGCCTAGGACCTAGTGTGTTTAACCTGCTAGGAATGACTTCTTAACTAAAAGCCCAGATTACTTCTTTTTAAAAATATTTTATTATTTTTATTTTATGTGTATGAATGTATTGCCTGAATGTGTATATGTGCACCCATGTCATGTACTGCCTCAGGAGAGGGTGTCAGATCCCCTGGAACTGGAGTTACACATAATTGTCAGCCATCGTGTGGGTGCTGGGAATTGAACCTGGGTTCTCTGCAAGAGTAGCCAGTACTCTTAACCACTGAATCATCTCTCCAGCCCCCTAGATTACTTCTTAACCTTGGACTAAGAGATGAGTAATGAATAGACATTGATTTACTTTTTACATGGCTCTCGGTTGAAAGTAATTATTGGACCTCTGACTCCAAAAGGAGAATTATGGGTTTGGATTCATAGAGCTAAGGTTTCAGCTTGGCTATGGTGGTCATTGGCCGTTGGACCTCAGGGAAGACTTTTCTGTTCTCTGGACCTCAATTTCCCCCGTTAAGAGGGCACTGGCATGGAAGAGTAAAAAGAGTCAGATGTGAAAACTGGAACAGACAATTCTTCAAGTCCTGGGCCTACTCCTTACACTATAGCAACTGATAGATTTTACTTGTTTTATCATCTAAAAATTGGAATTCATGGGAATGCATATAATGCCCTCTGTATTTCATATGTGATCCCTATTACCATTTAGCACTGACAGAAGAACCAGAGTGAAACCACCTTCCCTGCCTGTCTGCCTCATAGAGCTGTTCGCAGCTCAGCAGAGGGTGGAAAGGCTTGGTGGGTGCAGAAAGCACCCAGGGGTACTCCATATCTCTGATGAGAGCTCATGCATACTGACTTCCTTTAGCTTATTACATATGTCAAGTTCTATCATATGATTCTCAGCAAATATACAGAACCTCTAAATGCTCAAAGTCCCCTGTGTCCTGAGATTGGGCAAACTGGTGGTGTTTGGGTGAGGACGGTACTTGTTTACATCACTTGATGTCACTAGTGCTAGGAAAATGCACTAGGCACAGTTTTAAGAGATGCAGTGTTAACCTTCTGTCTTGTGGTAGCATTGGATAGGAAGTCCCTCCTGCAGAGGAGGCTTCTAAAACTTTGTGACTCCATAGTCCTAAGAGTTACATTGCCATAGCCTGCCATAAGGTACCATGTGTTGGGACTCTAATCCCATCCCTTCAGGTCCAGTGGCCCCAGAGGACAAAGTGGTTACAGAAATCTTACATTGATCTTCCTTATCATCCAGTACCCCCAACCCCTCGCCTCCCACCACCATCATGAATTTTATCTCTTGTTCATCTTCCTGTATGTTATCACTGAGGAATGGGAAACTTGAGAAGACAGTCACACAGATAAGTGCAGGTTGTAGGTCTCCATCAGACCTACATAGGCATCAGATACTGGTGTTCCTTCCTGTCCAGTCTCTGTTGGCCGGCTGTACATGAGGCAGGGTGATGGTAAAGTGTACCGGAAAGAGAAGGCCACTCTTCTCACTCCTGCAAGTCTATGTTCCTTCCCTTGTTGCTTTTTTAACAAGATGTTCTCAGTTAATCTTGAGTCTGCAGAATTCTCAGTGTGGGCTTATGAGAATGAGCAAAGGGAGGCAGTCTTTTCCATTTCCCATGATTTCCCCACCCACATTTCAAATTGGGGTCTTTCTAAGTTGAGCTCTCCCCTCAGCCCACTTCTACCCTCTTAGTCCATGTCAGCTCTGGCTTGGCCTTGCTCAAAGGGCACATCCCCTGTGTCCATGGTCACCCTTTTGTCTCATTTTAGATCTGCTTTTAACAAGTCTGGTAAATGCAGCCCACATTTACCATGTGCCGGTTCCCTAAGACATTGTGGAGTAAACTGGGCCAGGCTCTGTTGGTTATTAGTCATGCAGCTCTGTGGGAGAGGCATATTTTTCTCCTCCATTGTACAGATACAAACCTGAGCCACAAAAATTAGATAACTTGCCTAAGGTCACACAGGTGCGTGGTAGCTGACTGGCTTGATGTACACTTCAGGAAACCACAAGTCCAAAATCAAGGTATCATCGTATTTGGCTCCTCCTTGAAGACCTGAAGAAGAATGTTTTCTGCCTTGTTCTTGGCTTCCTGGTGGTCTCTGTCCTCCCTGACTTGCAGACGTGTCAGTCTTACCTCTACATTCACATGGTGTCTCTTCTGTGTGCCTTCCCCTGGAAGGATGGTTATTATTGAACTTCAAGCCCATCCAATCCAAGACGGTCTCAGCTGAAGATCCTGAAGTACATTTCCTATGTCCCTTTTTCTAAGTGCCGTCATCTTCTCAGATTATAGGTGGGTGTGTCTTGGAGGGGTAGGGCAGAGTGGCTACCATTTAGCCCATCTTGCTCCTCTCTGTTCTTCAGCCCCAATAGTACAACCCGGGACCTTCATAAGTACTCTCCTGGTCCTCTCTTGCCTTTACCTATAACTTGCCTTACTTTTAGACCTCAGCGCCTTCCCTAACCACCCTTCTTGAAGTAAGGTGCTATTTCACTCTGAGCACCTGCCTAACACAGCAGCCTGTTGTAACAGCTTCTCTTATATCTTGGCACACTTCCTTTCACTTTGTCCTCTTGCCTTTGGGCTTAGTGAAGACCCTGGACAGGCTCCACCTTCCCTCTGATACAGCAGAGCAGTAGCTTTAGAAAGTGTGCTGACATTCCCTGACTGTTTGTCTAAGAAAAGCAATCTCTCTGTCCTTCTAGAGTTCCAGAACATATGCCTAATGTCTCTTTTTCCTCCAGAAACATAAAAAAGTAACTAAAGTAATTGGGTTGTTTAGTAGATAGCCAGGTAAGCTTCCTTCCTTGTATCACCTCACAGAATCCTGGAAGCTGTGAAAAGCCAGGCCGTGTGGGCCTGTCCTTCCCCAGCAAGGCTATAAGTCACAGCTAGAAGCACTGAGGAATAAGCTTCAACATGTCACCCACCCTTGCTTATCTTGAGATAAGTGTCATGGTTTTTCCCCTATATTTGCACCTTAGTTCATCTGATCATTTGCGGGGACAGTACAGCTCCATTTCCTAATGGAATAGGAGCAACTCTGTCTCCCTGGAGAGTATTCTACAACAGTCTCACCTCCCCTGAGCCAACCCAGGTGAGCCGAACAACATGTATAGGTGGATCCACTGAAGCCTTGGTGTTTCCTGAAGAGACACAGATTGGGTCAGTACTGTGGGCAGTTTGGACTGGCAGCATTGGGCCTACTTTTACATAGTACCTGTGTTGTGATTGTTACAAAGCACACCTGATCAATGTCTTAGACTCAAGTTCTGACCAAAGCAATGACCTCTCTCTGTCTCACTCCTTAAATCAGCTAGCTCACTGCCCTGAGATTTCACAAAGATGTCCAGAGCACACTGCTGGATACAGCTTGGAACGTTCCCATGACCATCTCCCCACCACCCTCTCTGCTTATCCCTGGCTCCTTTCCTGGTCTACAGCTGGTTTATTCACCATCCAATGATACTGGCAAGGAAGTCCCGCATTATCCCAACCTTCCTTCCTAGTCTTGGTCTTTGCAGCTATTGGTAGCTTTACTTGCCAGCTGGCAGAAGCTTTGGGAGAACCATCCATGATTTCAAACTAGCTTCCTAGGTTTGTCTTTTCCTGCCATCTATGTTGCAATGAGTTAGTAGAAAATTCATCTCTGTTTTAGATTCTGGTGCCTGGTAGGAGGCTGGTTGCAGTGGGAGATGGGGAGAAAGGCTCAAGTGCACTTGTGTAAAGAACTAACTGTGTTCCAGCAAGTGCAGGAGATAAAGTGTAGAGGTCAGAGGCTGGATGCATCAGGACCACTGCAAAGAGGGAGGATACAACTAGTCAGTAAGTACCCAGTGAAGGGATGGGTGACATAGAGCTCTGTGTCTGTACTGAGCTTTGCTTCCCCAGTGAAATCCCAGCTGTGTGCCTTCAGTGTGTTAATGGCCTGGAGCTTGTATGGGTAAAACGTCCAAATCTCT